ATATATATATATATATATATATAGAGAGAGATGCACCGCTACCGGTTTTTCGGTATCAAGTACGAGTACCTATATTTTTTTTCCGGTACTCGCCGATACCGAAAGTCCCATCAAGGAATCCAGGTGGCGTGTAATGACTCATCGCCCGGCTTCCTGATTAGCTGGTAAGCCGGCTCCCTGCTCCCTCGAGGAAGCAGGGAGCCGACTTTCTTGCCAATCAGGAAGCCGGGGGGCGGTAATGACTCGCTGCCCAGCTGCCTGATTGGCCAGCTTCCCGACCAATCAGGAAACCGGGCGGGGAGTCATTAGCCACAACCCCCCCCAGCTCCAAACTCCCTCATCACCAGGTGACGAAGAAGCATGGAGCTGGCTTTCTGCTCAATCAGGCTTCCTGATTGGCCAGCTTCCCCACCAATCAGGAAGCCGGGAGGTGAGTCATTACAGGCCGCCCGGCTTCCTGATTGGCCGGGAAGCCGGCTCCCTCGTCACCACTTTTTTAAATTATGGATAGGTCATGGAAGGGTTAAATTATCTTTCCGGTTTTAATCACCTTGGGCATCCTATTGATCCTGGTGAGCACTGACACTGGGACAGGAAGTGATTGGAAATCCAATATGGTCCCCAGAATAGGAACAAGGGATATCTTCCAATGGGGACACCTGCAACAAATGTCAAAGTGGGGATTTCCCTTTATTTTAGAGAGATTTCCTCTTACATCCCGATGCTGATTTATTAAGCTGCAATTGCCTTAAGGGTAGTCTAAGGCGTGCCAAAGTGGACCCTCAACCAATATTATGTCATTTTAACATTTCTTAGGCCCTATTCGGTAATCCTTAAAGGAGAAGTGCGGGAAGAGTAGAAAATACTCTCCCCGCTGCTTAGAGGCGGCGTGGAACACTATGGCTGTCACATGCCAACTCCTCACTGATAGCTGAGCGATCATGTGACCGTTAATCGCTCAGTTCTTGGTCTCTTCTCCCAGCAGAGAGCGGTGACTGTCAGTCCACTTCTGCTTCTCCAGCACTCATTGAAAGGACAGACGAGGACGGGGCAGGCACAGCGCGCTCTGGCTCTAGAGAAGCAGAGCCAACTATAAATCAGGCATTCAGGCGGATCCCAATAATTTTGGGATCCGCCTGGGACTAGGGTTGCCACCTGTACGGGATTCACCCGGGTTTTGAATCCTGTGTCCAGGTTTCATGGCAGCTGAGACCCGGACACATGATGTCAGGCAGATAGGGGCAACCAAAATTAATATAGGGGCTACTGCCCCCCCCCCACTGAAAATAGTCTTGACTGTGATATTTACATATGAATGGGTGACACTATTTACATATGAATAAGCCGCAACTCATTCCCCCCAAAAAAATCTCTATGCGTCGCTAGAGTGTTCGGGTTTTGCTGAAAGAAAAGGTGGCAACCCTACCTGGGACAGCTCTGCACTGTCAGCAGTTTAGCATTAGCCCGCTATCTACTAACCTTGGGTCACAGGAACATATTAGCAAATGTCCTCCTGTGGCCCAAAGGAGAAGTAAAGCCACAAAACAGGTTTGACTTTACTTCTCCTTTAAGTGATACTGCGGCATGGGGAATGGGGGCCATTAGGTTTTCTCCGGCAGTACGTACATTGCAGGCTGACACTACGCCGTCTCCACCAGCGCAGATCATGTTGGTCTTCACGGTCCTTCCCCACCAGTCAGACAGGGAGCAGGTGTCAAAGTCCACAACCAGGAGAAGAGCTTGCTGCAAGGAATCTGCGCCGGGTCCGCCGGCTACAAATAAAAAATGCATCATATTAACATACATAAGTCTTTCTATTTATTGTTAAAGTGTTCCTGACTTTAGAAAGAATGATCGTACCCAGGGGCTAATGTATAATCGTTCCATCCAGCGTATAGCTGGGCGAATGCCATTCGCATGGCATTCCTATGCTCCTCACCTCCATTTAGTAGCAGTAGTGCTGTGTGAACGATATTTGTCCGGCTGTATAAAAGATTTAGAAATCTGCCCTCATGTAATCACCACCAATAAAAGG